TGTATTTAACAGCCTGAAAGGGTAATTTTGCTTATGTCAAAGCACAATTATTTAACAGTTTTTGAACACCTCAGAGATACTGTACATATGAACGTCTACACTGTGTCTTTAATGTCAGTAAAATATGAACTAATAGCGATTTATTTTTTTCTAAGAAAGACTGCAAACAACACTTTCAATCAGATCATGTGCACCCTCCAGGGCTTGAGTCCTGAAGTGAAAGCCAAAATTATTTAATGATCCAGTGTTTCCATGCTGATTATTGCATTCTTGTATCATTTTCATGACATGAAATGCAAATCATGAGTAAAGTCACCATCTACGCATAATGCAATCAACATAGCAAGACTTCAAACAAAACTACTGGATCATGGATCAAACAGAGTATCCTGCAGCATAAATAATTAACGAGGGCTTAAAAGACGAGAGCTCTTCTTTTCTGGCCTTTGACAACTCGAATAAATAAAGAGGGCCAGGTGGAAAGCTGAATTTGCAGAGAGCGCGTCTTTGTATTTCCATAATGAGTATAAATACACAAGGTGCTGGATCAGCTTGGAAATAAATGATGAATACATCTGCCATTCTGACGCATCTTTGATTAACGACAGATTTATGTGAGGAATGATATATAGAGATATGAAAGCTGTGCTCCTCGTCAAGAAGAAAGGTTCTCGTGAGTTATTGTGAACAATTTTGCTTCAACACAACTGGGATGAAGCAATAAATTATAGTAACTGTGTCCCAGTGGGAAAAATGTCTGGCTTATAACGGATACATACTTTAAAAAATAAATAAATTCTGATTTTCATTCAGCACAAGAAAAATAGATTGTGCTGTAAATGAGTTTGACTCAATAATGTCACTTCGTTCTTTTCTGTAATGTTGGTTATTGATGGACCCAAAACACAGCAGTTATTTATGAAATAAAAAAACAAACCCAAAAGTACAGGTGACAAAAACCAGGATTTAAACAGGACAGTATATAACATAACTGGAAATATTAACAAAAGTTGATCAGTGAATCAGGAGGGAGTATCGCATAGTGGGAACACGGATTAATAAAACAAAAAAATACCAGGCTAAAACGATGAAATCTAAAAACGCAAGGAGCTAAGAATACAAACTGTAAAGAAAACTATGATAACGCAGTAYGATGGCCAAAATTAAGACTATTGTGCAACCAGCAGTTTCTMCATCCTTGTAGCAGGATTAGGTTATTGATTTGATTAAATGATAGGCACCGGTAACTGAGAGGCCGGTGCTGGCTAATGAGAAGCAGACTATTCATTTGTGTTAGCATCGCAGAGGCTAGGGCAGGGGTGGGCAGTCATGTTCGAGGGCCACAGCTCTACATGTTTTACATGTTTCCCTGCTCCAACACACCTGATTCWGYCACTGAACTACCTCTTCCAAGTTCTTCAGTATGGAGGACCGAAACTGACACAATTAGAAATTAAAGCAGAAATAGATAAACCTTTAAATAAATAAATACATTAAAAATGCACCAAATAAATTAAGAAAGAGAACATTACCTCATGTCTTATATTTTAATTGACCTTCATATTTATTTTTCCAGCTTAGTTCCAATAAATTATATATTTTAACTCATAATTTAAATTTTAATGTTTTTACATAGTTTTTCCTTTTACTTGTACATGCATGTGTCTCTTGAATGC